GAATGACCAGTGATGTTGAACATTTTTTCGTATGTTTATTTGCTATGTCTACTTTGTGTGAGAAATGTCTGTTCATTTCAGATCCCCATTTTTGGATTGGGTCTTTACATTTGGGAGGTCTGATTTTTTTAAGTTCTTTATAGATTTGAGATGTAGACCTTTGTCTGAAGGACTGCTGGTGAAAATTTTTTCGCACATTGTGGGTTGTCTCTTCAACACTGCTGGTGGTTTCTCTTGCTGTGCAAAAGCTTTTTAGTAAAAAGAGATCCCACTTGTTGATTGTTTGTGTCAGTTCATGGGCAACTGAGATTTTGTTCATAAAGTCTTTTCCTACCCCAATGTGTTCAAGAGTTCTACCTAACCTTTGTTCTAGCCGGTTCAGCTTTTCTGTTTTAATATTTAGATCTTTAATCCATTTCAACTTTAGTTTAGTGCATGGTGAGAGATTTGGTCTAGCTTTAGTCTTTGGCAAGTAGAAACCCAATTTTTCCAGCACCGTTTATTAAAGAGGCTATCTTTCCTCCAGTGAGGGTGTTTGGCTTCTTTGTCAAAGATAGGTGGCTGAGTGTGTCTGGAGTTGTTTCTGCATCTTCTAATCTGTTCCACTGGTCCTCAGGTCTGTTTCTTTGCCCGTACCATGCTGGTTTTATCACAGTAGTTTTGTAATACAGATTCAAGTTGGAGGTTGTAATACCCCCTGCCATGTCTCTGTTACCTAGAATTGCTTTTGCTATTCTGGCTCTCTTCTTTTTCCAAATGAATTTTGGGATTGTTTTCTCAAGGTCCATGAAGTATCTCAATTGGAATTGCATTGAATCTATATAGCAGTTTTGGAAGTATGGCCATTTTCACTACGTTGATCCTTCCTACCCAGGAGCAGGGGATGTCTTTCCATTTTCTGATATCTTCAGTATCTTTTTTCAAAGTGCTATAGTTTTCGGAGAAGAGGTCTTTGATTTCTTTTGTTAGGTTGATTCCTAGGTATTTCAGTTTTTTGGGTGCTATTGTGAAAGGAATTGTTTGCCCTATTTCTCTCTCAGTGAGTCTGTTGTT